GGGGGAGGGGAGGGGTGCAAGGGGAGGGTTGAGGGCGAGCGGGAGGGAGAAGAGAGTGGGTATGGGGGTATGGGGGCAGGGCTGGCGAGCGGGCGTGTCGGGCCTCCTTATACCTGCGGGCCTGAGAGTGAGAGGACCTTGGCGAGTTACCCATCCTCCTCCTCCTCCTCCTCCTCCTCCTCCACCTCCTCCTCCTCCTCCTCCTCCTCCTCCTCCTCCTCCTACTCCTCCTCCTTCTTCTTCTCTTCCTCCTCTTTCTCCTCCTCCTCCTCTTCTTCTTCTTCCTCCTCTTTCTCCTCCTCCTCTTCTTCTTCTTCCTCCTCTTTCTCCTCCTCCTTCTCTTCCTCCTCCTCCTTCTCCTGCTCCTCCTTTTCCTTCTCCTCCTCCTCCTCTCCCTCTCCATCTACTTCTCTTAATCCTCTTCCTTCTCTTCCTCCTCCCCTTTCTTTCGAATTATATTTTCTCATTTTATATATTTTCTTTTACTTATTTGATGTGAGTGTCGAGAAGACGAGAGAGAGAGAGAGAGAGAGAGAGAGAGAGAGAGAGAGAGAGAGAGAGAGAGAGAGAGAGAGAGAGAGAGAGAGAGAGAGAGACGTATCTCTTTATCACACTTTATCCCTCCCTCCCCCCCCTCTCTCCTCCCCCAATAAGCCACCTGGGTCTGCCTCTCCATTTTCTTCTTTCCTTTTAGTCCATCATTACCATCTGTCTCTGTAATTCCCATTTTTATCCCATTTTTTTTCATATCTACTCCTTCTTTCCCAACTGTAACACATATATCATTAACGCGTGAAAAAAAAACGAAAAAAAAAAAAAAAGAAAAAAAAGAAAAAAAAAGAAAAATAACAAGAACAAACAGATTGTTCATTAATGCCATGTAATATACTTACAGTTCTCCTGAAGTTAATCTTTAATTTGTAATTCTTCCTTTCCAAGTACTCTTAAAGAATTCTAAATTATCTCTCCTTTCATCTTTCTTCTCTTTCTGTTGTTTTTTTTTTCTTTTCTTTTCTCTCTCCCGGTTCCCTTGTTATCATCGTCGTAAATTTATTATTATTATTCTTTTTTTCTCTCTCTCTTACTTTCTTCTTCCCCTTTTAAGTGTTTTTTTTTTCTCTCTCTCTCTTTCTCTTTCTTCTTCACCTTTTAGTGTTTTATTTTTTATTTTTTTATTATTTTTTTTTTTTATCCCCGCGCTCGCATCTAACGGTGCAGTGTTACCATGCGTGATCGGAAGAGAAAACCTCCGGGCGTGTGATAACTCAATCCCGCCGCCAGTGATTCCGCTATCGATGTTCACCGAAAACGCTCCTTCTCCGAACTCTTGCCGGCTTTTACGGGCTTTAAAAACAAATAAGAATAGAATAAAACTCGAGGAAAGACCGATAATTATCGTGATCGCGCTCAGTAATGCGAGGGTGAGCGCGAGGCCGAGGAATTGGCAATAATGGTGCGCCATTGTTAACGCAACTATGTATTATAGACGATCTGATAGTAGGTCGCGTCGATTGTATAAGGGAACTGGACTCCCTCTTGGCCCACGGCTGATCGTCGATGCCGTGTTAATGATTGGGATCGTAAACATTTCTTGGGTTTCGGGGAAGAGGTTCGGGTTAGCGCGGTTTGTGTTCGGTGAGAGGGAGGGAGGGAGGGAAGGAGGGAGGGAGGGAGGGAGGGAGGGACGGAGGGGTGAGAGGATATTATTCAAGTGAGGTTTTATTGGTTCTCGTGCGCGATTTTTTAAAATTTTTCTCTCTTTCTTTCTTTCTTTCTTTATCTCTCTCTATCTCTCTTTCTCTTTCTCTTTCTCTTTCTCTCTCTCTCTCTCTTTCTCTCCCTGTCCCTCTCCCTCTCCCTCTCCCTCTCCCTCCTCCCTCCTCCCTCTCCCTCTCCCTCCCTCCCCCCTCCCCCCACCCACCTAACCCCACCCCCCTTCCCAAATAAGCCAAGAAGGACCCTAGACTATGACAGTTCGACGCTGAATTACAGGTGTCATTCGGTGTAATCAATTGCAGGTATGACAATGATGCCATTTCCGTAGACAGTCCTTAAGGGGAAAGGAGGCGGGGGGGGAAGGGGGTGGATGGGGGATGGGGGGAGAGAAGGGAAGGAGAGAAAGATTATTTTTTCTGTTTATGTGGTTATTGTTTTTATTGTTATTATTATTATTGTTATTATTATTATTATTGTTGTTGTTAATATTATTATTAACATTGTTATTATTATTAGTATTATTATTATCATTTTATTATTGTTATTATTATTAAACCCCTCCTCCTCCTCCTCCTCCTCCCCCTCCTCCTCCTCCTCCTCCTCCTCCTCCTCCTCCTCCTCCTCCTCCTCCTCCTCCTCCTCCTCCTCCTCCTCCTCCTCCTCCTCCTCCTCCTCCTCCTCTTCCTCCTCCTCCTCCTCCGTCCGTTACCTGCGTAGCGATCGGTTACCTGGTAATATGATCATTGTTTCTCGTATTACCTGGCTCAATCACGGAGCGCCGGGCCCTATCATTAGAAATAATGTTTATTTACCCAACATAAAAGAGGTGCATCCCCCCCACCCCCCCAACCCCCTTCTCCTTATCCCCACCCCCCTCACCTCTTCCCTTCCTCTCCCTTTTCTCCTCCTTTCTCCTCTCCTTCCCTCCTCTTCCCTCCTGTCTCCTTCCTATCTACTTCCTTTCCCTCCCCCCCCCTCTCCTGCGTTCCCATTTATAATATTTATATATATAAATAAATATGTATGTGTATTAAAATTAATTTTGATGCCATTATGGACCCAGAGCAAATAACTGAAGATAGAAAAATTAAATATTTATACATTAATAGGATAATGATATGACACACAAAATTAAATTCAAAATGTCGGTTGCATTGCAAGACTGCATAATGATCGGATAGCTACAAAGAGTGGCGATGAGTTTAGGGAGGGAAGGGAGGGAGGGAGGAGGGGAGGGAGAGAGGGAGGGAGGGAGGAAGGAGGGAAGGAAAGAGGAGAGGGAGAGAGGAGGGAAGGAATGGAGGGAGAAAGGAGGGAAGGAATGGAGGGAGGGAGGGGAGGAGGGAGGGAGGGAGAGGAGGGAAGGAAGGGAGGGAGGGAGGGGAGGGAGGGATAAAGAAGGGAGGGAAGGAAGGAGGGAGGGAAAGAAGGAAGGAGGGGAGGGAGGGAGGGGAGGGAAGGAAGGAGGGAAAGGGGGGGGGGTCCTGGAATGACGTAGAACAAACATCGAACACTAAGACCTTCAGGGTTATAAGTATTAATAACTTAAAAAAAAAAAAATCCAAATTGCCATAGTGTAAACCTGCTCATATATATTTTTTTTTTCTTTTTTTCTTTCTTTTTTTTTGGTATCATTAACTTTCCTATACCAACAGAGGAGGCTATTGTCCCTCGGGTTGAAATTGTCACATAAATTGGCTTAATTGTCTTGTTATGGCGGGTGATTTTTTTTGGGGGGGGGGGGGGGGGGGGGGGGGGGAGCTGGTGGGGTTTGGGGAGGTAAGAGAGGGAGGGGGATGAAGGTAAAGGGGGGGAAGGGGGGTGTATTGGGGGAGATTGGGGAGGGGAAAGAAGAAGTGGAGGAAGGAGGACAGAAAGACGAAGAAGAAGATAAAAGAAGAAAATGCAAATAATAATAAAATAAAAGAGGAAAAGAATAGAAGATGTAAAGAAGAAGAAGAAAACCCCCCAAAAAAGATCATCATTGGTCACCCCCCTTCTCCCCCCCTCTCCCTCTCCCCTTCCCCCTCCCCCCTCTCCCTCTCCCCTTCCCCCTTCCCCCCCTTCCCCCCTCTCCCCCCTCTCCCTTTTCCTGATAGCGCGTGGAGATTTAAATATATGGACACTGCTCTTTTCAAGTAATTTTTGTGGGGCAGAAAGTTAATTTTATTCTGTCATGTAAGCGCGTCTGTGAACTCCGGTGTTGTAGTCTGTCACAGAATGTTTTCTTTGCAATTTGTGTAACGAGGAGGGGGGGGGGGGTGGGGGGTGTGGGGGGAATATAGCGAAATTGGAATAAAGACTGGGGGGTAAGAAAATAATAATAATAGTGGTAAAACATAAGGAACACGAATGACTGCGTTTTTTGTAAGTTTGCGACGGGATTTCAGGAGAAGGGAGAGAGAGAGAGAGAGAGAGAGAGAGAGAGAGAGAGAGAGAGAGAGAGAGAGAGAGAGAGAGAGAGAGAGAGAGAGAGAGAGAGAGAGAGAGAAAGAGACAGAGATAGACGGACAGACAGTCAAACAGAGAAAAATAAAAATAAATGCACTGACAAAGACAGAAAGGCACACAGACGATGTTGATGCCGTTGACAGAGGGGGGGGAAGGGGGGGGGGAGACATGACGTGACAAGGGGAATTACTCAAGTCCTTTGAGTTAGTGAAATAAGGAAGGACGAGAGACGAGGACAAAGAAATAAAAGGTGTTTGTTTTGGGGACAAGGGGGGTGGGTTCGGGGGGGTAGGGGAGGGGAAGTTATTGCTGGAATTATGATAAACTGTGAAACTGTGATGATATAGAGTCACATTATTTTATATGTGCACACAGTGACATGTATACACACACACACACGTACACGCATAGGCACACACACATAAACACACACACACGTAAATGGATGAATAAAGATAGGGAAATAGAGAATGAAATAAATTAATTAATAAGGAATCTAAGAAGTAACCAGACCGATAAACTGAAAATGATACACACACACACACACACACACACACACACATATATATATATGTATATATATATATATATATATATATATATATATATATATATATATATATATAAATATATATATATATATATATATATATATATATATATATATATATATATATATATATATTGTTATTTATCCACATGATTGCATTATTCCATGTTTATATTTAAGTGTGTTCCTATATGCATCATTTAAGTAATAGAACATAAGATAGATAAGTAGACGCTGTCCCCCCGACGCCCATTTCTCACCCCGACGCCTCTCCCTCCCACAGCGCTGGAGAAGCTGGGTTTCCGGGGCGTGTTCGGCGGCGGTTTGGGCGGAGCGCTGGGCGGCCTGGGTGCCAGCCTGGGCGCCGCGCTGTCCATGAGCACCGGCGACCGAGGCAGCGTGGGCGTGGGCGGCGCCGTGGGCCTGAGGGACGCCACCGTGACCTCGGGCGTGGGCGTGGGGCTCGGCGACGTGCGGCTGGGGCGTGAGAAGGAGGGCGGCCTGGAGCTGGTGAAGCCGTCGCTCGTCCTCGACATCGCCTCGCTCATCCTGTACGGGTGCCAGGCGCTGCCCATCCGCCTCAAGATCCTCCTCGACCGCCTCTTCTCGGTCCTCACCCACGAGGACGTCCTCCAGGTGCTGCACGGCTTCGGCTGGACCTACGAGGACTACGCGCGGGGATACAAGTTGCAGGTGAGTGAGTGGGACCTTCGCACTGTCGCCTGTTTCGGGCTTTCTGTTTGTTTGTCTCTTGGTTTTGGGTGGGTTTCTTTTCTTTCTTTCTTTTCTTTCTCTACCTCTCTCTATCTGTTTTTTTCTCTTTTTTTCTCTCTCTCTCTCCCTCTCTCTATCTGTTTTTTTTTTATTTTTCTCTTTCCTCGTTCTGGCGCTCTCTCTCTCTCTCTCTCTCTCTCTCTCTCTCTCTCTCTCTCTCTCTCTCTCTCTCTCTCTCTCTCTCTCTCTCTCTCTCTCTCTCTCTCTTTCTCTTCTTCCTAAATGTATATTTTCACGTGTCATACTATTTCATATATTCCTTATCAGATGTATGTAATTATATACCACACACGTATATCTGCAGGTATGTAAATGAGTTTATTCATATATTCACTCGCTTAAAAAAAAAAAAAAAAAAAAAACGGTAAATAATCCCGGGTAAATGACATTCACAAAGAAGAAAATAGATAGGGAAAGAAAAATAAATAAGAAAGATAGATAAAAAATATGTAAAAAAAAAAACAATAACTAAATAAATAAATGAAAATTAAAGACAAAAGAAAATACCAATGAAACTAAAACAAAACGAATGAATAAATAAAAATTAGGAAAAAAAAGATGCCGACACTCTTAGTAGTCAGCCAGTCCTTCTGTACGAGGCAGCGACTTCGAACTGAGCTATAAATCACATGCCCTTTCGAAGATAGAAGCCTTGGCTCACGGGACACAGAAGAGAGAAGGCGAGAACAAGTTTATAAATAATGAAAGAGAGAGAGAGAGAGAGAGAGAGGGAGGGAGGGAGGGAGGGAGGGAGGGAGGGAGGGAGGGAGAGAGAGAGAGAGAGAGAGAGAGAGAGAGAGAGAGAGAGAGAGAGAGAGAGAGAGAGAGAGAGAGGGAGGGAGGGAGGGAGGGAGGGAGGGAGGGAGGGAGAGAGAGAGAGAGATTGAGATAGAGAGAGATAGAGAGATAAATAGGTAGATAATAGAGATAGATAGATTGAGAGAGAGCGTTTTGCGAAATGGCGGCGGAGCGACGGAAGGAAGGAAGAGGGAGAAAGAGAGAGAGGGAGAGGGAGGGAGAGGGAGAGGGAGAGGGAGGGAGGGAGGGAGGGAGGGAGAGAGAGGGAGAGGGAGAGGGAGAGGGAGAGGGAGGGAGGGAGGGAGGGAGGGAGGGAGGGAGGGAGGGAGGGAGAGAGAGCGAGAGAGAGAGAGAGAGAGAGAGAGAGAGAGAGAGAGAGAGAGAGAGAGAGAGAGAGAAAAGAAGAGAGAACAAGGTAACAAAAAAAAAAAAAAAAAAAAAAAAAAAACGTCCACAGCCGACAAGGAAATATGAAACTCTCTGCATCTCTGCCGCTAAATCGTTTCCATTAGTCAGCTCCTAGGATCGAGCATTTTGAGAGTGAGCAAGAGAGAGAGAGAATGAGAGAGAGAGAGAAAAAAAAAGATTTAAAGAAAGAATCGGACTGCATTGAGAACCAAAAATTGCTTGGAGCTTCGGCAACAGAGCAACGAACGATAAGCTATCAGACAAGTCAACGCTTAAAATACAACGCAATAAATCTCTCTCTCTCTCTATTTTTTTTTTCGTAAAGTAGTTTCTGATCCATATTGCGTCGCGTCTCACGTACTATGTCTGCTTTACTCTTCTCCTCTTTATTTCTTCCTCTTCTTCCTCTTCCCCTCTCCTTTTCCTCTTCCTCCTTTCCCCTCTTCCCTTCTTCTCCTCCCTCTCAATTCCCTTATTTAACATATTTCTTCATCCAATTCCTCTTTTTATCGTACGCCAACAGCCGACTGTCAATCCCGAGAGATGATTGGCTGACGACTGGCCAATTAGCGGCGCGGAAATGGTCCAGGTTTTCGGTCGCGGGGAAAAACCTGTTAAAGCGACTGCTGGCTCAAAAGTGTTGATTGCCCGTGCGTTTTATTCCAAACAATTGTGCTTTGTGTTTTATGTGTGTCTGTTTCTTTGATATGTCGCCTCTCCTTCTCTCGTTGTCTCCCTCTTTTTTTTTTCTTTTCCTCTCCCTCTTTTTTTACATATCTCTCTCTCTTTCTCCCTCTCTTTCTCCCTCTCTCCCTCTACCTCTCCCTTTCCATCCCTAGATAGATAGATAGAGTAGTAAGAATGTTAAATCAATATAAAGATATATGATAAACACACACACACACACACACACACACACACACACACACACACACACACACACACACACACATATATATATATACATACATATATATATATATATATATATATATATATATATATATATATATATATATATACATATATAATATATATTATATATTATTGTTATTTATCCACATGATTGCATTATTCCATGTTTATATTTAAGTGTGTTCCTATATGCATCATTTAAGTAATAGAACATAAGATAGATAAGTGACGCTGTCCCCCCGACGCCCATTTCTCACCCCGACGCCTCTCCCTCCCACAGCGCTGGAGAAGCTGGGTTTCCGGGGCGTGGTTCGGCGGCGGTTTGGGCGGAGCGCTGGGCGGCCTGGGTGCCAGCCTGGGCGCCGCGCTGTCCATGAGCACCGGCGACCGAGGCAGCGTGGGCGTGGGCGGCGCCGTGGGCCTGAGGGACGCCACCGTGACCTCGGGCGTGGGCGTGGGGCTCGGCGACGTGCGGCTAGGGCGCGAGAAGGAGGCGGCCTGGAGCTGGTGAAGCCGTCGCTCGTCCTCGACATCGCCTCGCTCAATCCTGTACGGGTGCCAGGCGCTGCCCATCCGCCTCAAGATCCTCCTCGACCGCCTCTTCTCGGTCCTCACCCACGAGGACGTCCTCCAGGTGCTGCACGGCTTCGGCTGGACCTACGAGGACTACGCGCGGGGATACAAGTTGCAGGTGAGTGAGTGGGACCTTCGCACTGTCGCCTGTTTCGGGCTTTCTGTTTGTTTGTCTCTTGGTTTTGGGTGGGTTTCTTTTTCTTTCTTTCTTTTCTTCTCTACCTCTCTCTATCTGTTTTTTTTTTTTTTTTTTCTCTCTCTCTCTCCTCTCTCTATCTGTTTTTTTTTTATTTTTTCTCTTTCCTCGTTCTGGCGCTCTCTCTCTCTCTCTCTCCTCTCTCTCTCCTCTCTCTCTCTCTCTTCTCTCTCTCTCTCTCTCTCCTCTCTCTCTCTCTCTCTCTCTTTCTCTTTCTCTTCTTCCTAAATGTATATTTTCACGTGTCATACTATTTCATATATTCCTTATCAGATGTATGTATTTATATACCACACCGTATATCTGCAGTATGTAAATGAGTTTATTCATATATTCACTCGCTTAAAAAAAAAAAAAAAAAAAACGGTAAATAATCCCGGGTAAATGACATTCACAAAGAAGAAAATAGATAGGGAAAGAAAAATAAATAAGAAAGATAGATAAAAAATATGTAAAAAAAAAAACAATAACTAAATAAATAAATGAAAATTAAAGACAAAAGAAAATACCAATGAAACTAAAACAAAACGAATGAATAAATAAAAATTAAGAAAAAAAAAAATATGCCGACACTCTTAGTAGTCAGCCAGTCCTTCTGTACGAGGCAGCGACTTCGAACTGAGCTATAAATCACATGCCCTTTCGAAGATAGAAGCCTTGGCTCACGGGACACAGAAGAGAGAAGGCGAGAACAAGTTTATAAATAATGAAAGAGAGAGAGAGAGATAGAGAGAGAGAGAGAGAGGGAGGGGGGAGGGAGGGAGGGAGGGAGGGAGAGAGAGAGAGAGAGAGAGAGAGAGAGAGAAGAGAGAGAGAGAGAGGAGAGAGAGAGAGAGAGAGGGAGGGGGGAGGGAGGGAGGAGGGAGGGAGGGAGAGAGAGAGAGAGATTGAGATAGAGAGAGATAGAGAGATAAATAGGTAGATAATAGAGATAGATAGATTGAGAGAGAGCGTTTTGCGAAATGGCGGCGGAGCGACGGAAGGAAGGAAGATTGAGAAAGAGAGAGAGAGAGGGAGGGAGGGAGGGAGAGAGAGAGAGAGGGAGGGAGGGAGGAGGGAGGGAGAGAGAGAGAGAGCGAGAGAGAGAGAGAGAGGGAGGGAGGGAGGGAGGGAGGGAGGGAGGGAGGGAGGGAGAGAGAGAGAGAGATGAGAGAGAGAGAGAGAAGAGAGAGAGAGAGAAGAGGAGAGAGAGAAAAGAAGAGAGAACAAGGTAACAAAAAAAAAAAAAAAAAAAAAAAAAAAACGTCCACAGCCGACAAGGAAATATGAAACTCTCTGCATCTCTGCCGCTAAATCGTTTCCATTAGTCAGCTCCTAGGATCGAGCATTTTGAGAGTGAGCAAGAGAGAGAGAGAAAGAGAGAGAGAGAGAAAAAAAAAAGATTTAAAGAAAGAATCGGACTGCATTGAGAACCAAAAATTGCTTGGAGCTTCGGCAACAGAGCAACGAACGATAAGCTATCAGACAAGTCAACGCTTAAAATACAACGCAATAAATCTCTCTCTCTCTCTCTTTTTTTTTTCGTAAAGTAGTTTCTGATCCATATTGCGTCGCGTCTCACGTACTATGTCTGCTTTACTCTTCTCCTCTTTATTTCTTCCTCTTCTTCCTCTTCCCCTCTCCTTTTCCTCTTCCTCCTTTCCCCTCTTCCCTTCTTCTCCTCCCTCTCAATTCCCTTATTTAACATATTTCTTCATCCAATTCCTCTTTTTATCGTACGCCAACAGCCGACTGTCAATCCCGAGAGATGATTGGCTGACGACTGGCCAATTAGCGGCGCGGAAATGGTCCAGGTTTTCGGTCGCGGGGAAAAAAACCTGTTAAAGCGACTGCTGGCTCAAAGTGTTGATTGCCCGTGCGTTTTTATTCCAAACAATTGTGCTTTGTGTTTTATGTGTGTCTGTTTCTTTGATATGTCGCCTCTCCTTCTCTCGTTGTCTCTCTCTTTTTTTTTTTTCCTCTCCCTCTTTTTTACATATCTCTCTCTCTTTCTCCCTCTCCTTCTCCCCTCTCTCCCTCTACCTCTCCCTTTCCATCCCTAGATAGATAGATAGAGTAGTAAGAATGTTAAATCAATATAAAGATATATGATAAACACACACACACACACACACACACACACACACACACACACACACACACACACACACACATACACACACACACACACACACACACATATATATATATATAGATATATATATATATATATATATATATATATATATATATATATATATACATATATATACACACATATGCATATATATAAACAAAACAAAAAATGCATTCTTATTTACATCAAAACAGAATACTAGTTATTAGTGTTGCCAGTCGATCCTTCAGTATCACAAGCTTTAGTGTTGGCCGTAAGAAATTCAAATGTAGCGCCAGCATTTGCATAAAGAGTCGCAAATGATACAGAATACACCGGTAAAGTAAAGGGAATTTGTTATCTGAAGCACTGCACGCCGGCCTGACAAAGGAATATATGCTTTAACACCTGTCATTGGAAGCTGGGAAGTGGAAAGTGGGCTCCTGTCTCTCTGTTTGCTTGCTTTTTTTTGTGTTTTGTGTTGTTTTGTTTGTGTTTGTTGTGTGTGTTTGTTTGTGTTTTTTGTGTTTATGTGTGTTTGTGTGTGTGTGTTTGTTTGTGTATGTGTGTGTGTGTGTGTGTGTGTGTGTGTGTGTGTGTGTGTGTGTGTGTGTGTGTGTGTGTGTGTGTGTGTGTGTGTGTGTGTGTGTGTCTTTATCATTCTCTTGCCACTACTGTTTCTACTGCTATTACTATTACTACAACGACTACTATCTCTATTATTATTATTTATTCATTTCATGAAAATAAAGTATTTGGAAATCCGATCTTCCCTTGCTTAAAATAGATAAATAGATAGTTGGGATTTAGAGTCATTTCTGATGAGTAAATAAATGGCATTCTTTCTGATAGAATGATAATAATAAAATAAAATGAAAAAAAAAATAGTCTCAAATTCTTACATCTGAAGCCGTTATTGCCCGGAACCCTAACTTATTAAAATCCTACATCTTTCTGATCTCTCCGTCCATTATCACCCTTATGACACCTCTCCTTAAGACCCATAATCACCCCCCCCCACCCCACCCCCCGAGCTGACTTAAGAGAAGCAACACGAACCCAACATCACAGCGAAACTGACACGCTTAAGGGTCAAAATCACTCACACAACGAAGGCAAACTCCGCCCTTACCGCCCGCCCTCTCTCTCTCTCTGACACGCCCGGGGAGAGATGCTGCGGCCAAAGTGTGTCAAGTGTGTGTCATCCGTCAAACAACGACACCGACCTGAGCATCTCGAGAGTGGTCGTTAAGAGACGGATGCCGGTATAAGAAGGCGCTGGTGGAGCGTTTTGCGAAATGGCGGCGGAGCGACGGAAGGAAGGAAGAGGGAGAGAGAGAGAGGGAGAGGGAAAGGGAGAGGGAGAGGGAGGGAGGGAGAGGGAGAGGGAGAGGGAGAGGGAGAGGGAGAGGGAGAGGGAGGGAGAGGGAGAGAGAGAGGAGAGGGAGAGGGAGAGGGAGAGGAGAGGGAGGGAGGGAGGGAGAGAGAGGGAGAGGGAGAGGGAGAGGGAGAGGGAGAGAGAGCGAGAGAGAGAGAGAGAGAGAGGAGAGAGAGAGAGAGAGAGAGAGAGAGAGAGAGAGAGAGGAGAGAGAGAGAGAGAGAGAGAGAGAAAGAGACAAGAAAACTCGTTGTCATGATATGCTGTTACCTTTCATTTGCCGTAAGTCTGGATCATAACTGATGATTTAGCATCATGGGAGAAATCAAGTAATCCAACATGTTTTTTCCTTCTATTCTTCTTCTTCTTTCTTCCTCCCCGTCTTAAAGTCTCTCTCCACTCTATTTCCTCGAGCATGCATTTCTCTCGATCTCTCTCTCATTCTCTTTCTCTTTCTCTTTCTTCTTTTCTCTTTCTCTCTCTCATTTCTCTCTCTCTCGATCATCGATTTCAGGCTTTGGCATCTCGTCAAAGGAGAAGAGTCGCCTCTCTCTCTCTCCTCTCATCTCTCCTCACCACTCTCGTCACATCGATCCCTCTCTCACACTAAGCTAGCATCATCTCTCTCTCTCTCTTTCCTCCTTCTGATTTTTTGATCCTCAAGTCTATATCTAGGTGATAGAAGAGAGAGCCACAAACGAATTCCATCGTCTACTTGTATCTCATCTCTCTCTCTTTATCTCTCTCTCTCTGTCTTTGCTCTCTCTCATCGCTCCTCATCGCACCCGATTATCTCTCGTCCGATTCGATCATCCGCATTCTCTCTTCGCATCTAACTATCTATCTCTGACCTACTCTCACTCTCTGACTCTCTCTCCGTCTCTCGTCTCAATCCTCTCTCTCTCTCGTCTCTTCTCCAGCAGTCCTCGGACTCTCTCTCATCCCTATCGATCTCAGTCATACTTTCTTCCTCTCTCTCTCTGCCTCCTCCAGAAATAAATATCGAAGAATTGATATTAGAGCTAGAGACGACAATCTATCAAACTCACGCTAGACTATACATCGCACCACTCAACTCTCTCTCTCTCTCTCTAATTTCATCTCTCTCTCATCTCTCTCTCTTCCATCTCTCTCATACTCTCTCTCTCTCCCTCTCGACTCCTCTCCTCCTCACTCTTTCTCTCTTTCCTCTGCATCTTTCCTCTCTCTCTTTCTTTCTCTTTCTCTCTTTCTCTCTTTCTGTCTTTCTCTTTCTCTCGTTCTCTCCCTCTCTTCCTTATAATTTATTGGCAAATGACAAAAAAATTGGAGTGTACCACATTTGATCTAAAAATGAATGTGGCACCATTGGCAATAAAAAAGTGCCAGGTGCCGGTATGTTAAGTGTCCAACCAGATTATCATAATGATGACAACTGCAACAACAAAAACATTGCTAATAATGATCATG